TGGCGCCACCTGTAGCATCCTTAAGGATCGAAGGTTGCTCCTCCTGCTCCTTAAGGATCGGTCGACGCCCCTTCAACCCCATCTTAGTGCCTTATTGACCCCCTTCAACCCCTTCAACCCCCTATTGACCTCCTTCAACCCCTTCAACCCCATCTTAGTGCCCTATTGACCCCCTTCAACCCCATCTTAGTGTCTTATTGACCCCCTTCAACCCCTTATTTGATGAAGTTTTATGAAATTGTGAAAATTTCAAACTCAAAAAGTTGAAAATCAACGTAGTAACCACAAAAACTTCAATAATAACAACATCACTTTATGAAACTTAACCGCAGAACGTTAATAAGAAAGTTTAGTACAAGAAAACTACTTCAAAACTTCAATTTTAAGCCTTATTCTTTAACAAAACTTAATTTTTACAAGAAGTCTAATAATGATTCAAAAAATTTAATTGAAACTTCATCAAATCTTCAAATTTTAATAAATTATTTGTATTTATTTGATGAAACTTCACCAAAACTTTAAAATTTGAGAATTAAAAATGTGAAATCTTAATAACTTCAATGATAGCGATGTTATTTTATGAAACTTCATCAAAAAAGTTAATGTTTTAGTAAAAATTTGAATTTAATGCGAAAGAATCACCTCAAAACTTCAATATTTATCCCAATTTTGGGTTATACGTCAAGAAAACTTTGATAAAATCAAATCAACTTCATCTAACTTGTTATAATTTTAATTTTTTTATAAGAAGTTTAATAATAATTCAAAAAACTTCATTTAATCATCAAGTTTTAATAAATAATAATAATAAATAATTTGTATTTATTTGATGAAGTTTCACCAAAACTTTAACAACAGATGTAACAACTGATTTTACAACTGATATAGAAACAACAACCGATGTAGAAACAACAACTGATGTAGAAACAACAACAGATATAGAAACAACAACCGATGTAGAAACAACAACAACAGATATAGAAACAACAACTGATATAAANCGCTGATGGAAACCCGGCCGCCTTAAATAGGCGCCCTTGGGTAAAACCCTATCAACCGGGCGTTGTGGTTGGTTGGCGACCGTCCGATCCGTAGGTAGGGTTGACGACCAATGGCCAAGCAGATCGAACGGCGCTCAATTCGTACTTGGTGACAATATCGTAACGCTAGACGTCGACTGAAATGTAAAACGGTAGCGCTATATAATATAATATATATGGGGGGCCAGCTGTAGCATCTTTAAGGATCGGTCGACGGTGGCGTCACCTGTAGCATCCTTAAGGATCGGTCGACGGTGGCGCCACCTGTAGCATCCTTAAGGATCGGTCGACGGTGGCGCCACCTGTAGCATCCGTTAGATATTCTATCATACAAGTAACCACAAAAACTTCAATAATAACAACACCACTTTATGAAACTTAACCGCAG